GTCCTGGTTTACTGGTTCCCACACAGCTCTGACCATCAAAGCTAACGTTAGCCACATTAGCTGCACAGAGGATCCCCCTACAGTTGTGAGGACCACCAGTACTCCCAGTAACCCACTGGGTGTTCAGCTCCTGCATGAAGACTCTTGTGTTCACTCCAACTGCAGAACATTTGTGGGGTTTCTTCACTGTTCAATCATTTCAGAGTTTAGCAGAAACAGCTGTACAAAGTAAAGAAACCTCAGCCTCACAGTAATCTGATTACAGCTGCAGCATCCAACAGTCAGCCCTCAGTAATCTGATTACAGCTGTGTCAGATACATGGTGTCTGTACAGTAACTGGATGTGATGCAGGACCTCCTGCTCCATCTCCTAGCAACGGTAACCATGGTGTTCTCTGTGGGCAGCAGAGCGTGATGTGAGCGGCGGGCTGCGTTGCCATGGCGATGCCCTCTGAGACAGCACTGCTCACGCTCAGTAGTGTGAGAGAACACAGACTGTGATGAAGCTCAGCGGAGCAGCTGAGAGCTCAGGTTCCTTTACAGAACGTCAGAGAACCAAAGCACTGGATCTAAAGGTCGTTCTGCTGATAGCTTAACTGTATCAGCAGGAGAATAAAACCATGTGAGGTCTCACCTGGACCCGACTCACCTGAGAACCTGTGCTGCTGACTGGCCGGTGTGTTCTAGTGATGGTTTAAAGATGCTGTGGCTTGTGGCCTTTCAGGCCTGGCTGTGTGGTGCAATGAGACTTAATAAAGAACTGATGATGTCATACCTGTGCAGGTGAGTCATGCCGCTGGTGAAGCGCATCATCGAGCCCAGGTACCTGTGCCGCGGCGCTCTGCCTGATGGGGTCGCCAGTGAACTGGAGTGTGTCACCAACAGCACACTGGCTGCTGTCATCAAACAGCTGGGAGGGCTGAGTGAGTANTGCTTGGTTGTCTGTCTCTAAGTGTAGCCCTGTGATAGACTGGTTACCTGTCCAGGTGAACCTGCCTTCACCCTGAGCCAGCTGGGATAGGCTCCGCCCCCTAGTGAGGATTACGGTGTAGAGATGATGACAGATAGTTTAAAGCTGATACAAGAATTAGCTTTAGCCCAAAGGGTCCAAAAATACCAAGAAGCTGGAAGGGGAACAGAGCAGATGAACAATGTAAATCTACTTCTGAAATTAGACACAGTTCGTGACAGAAGTGTTGGTTCAGTACTTTTACACAGATTTGTTTGATAAATGAAATGTAATTAATAAAGGGTTACGGTTAGTGTCAGCATACGAATAAAAAAACATTTTGTTTATCTATCCAAATATGTATAATGTGATTATCACTATAACATTAAAAATCTTTTTTAAAAATTACAAATGATAAGAACTAAAGGCATAAAATGTATTTTAACGAGAGCAAACACAAGCCGACAGGAGCCGAGGAGCTCCGAAGGACCGACAGGAGCCGAGGAGCTCCGAAGGGCCGACAGGAGCCGAAGAAGTCCGAGGAGCCGAAGAACTCCGAGGAGCCGACAGGAGCCGACAGGAGCCGAACAACTCCGAGGAGCTGGTCGGAGCGCAGCCCTCCCCTCTTCTGGCAGCATCTCTCCGGTCGGATGAATCCGCCGCTCTGTGACGGAGAACCAGCAGAACGAACCGGACCTGGAGTCGAACCGTCCTCAGTCCGGTGAGTCACACTGATCCTTACTGACTGTCAGAGGCGTCTGAGTGTTGCCACGAACCGACGCAGTGATCGATCCGCGGGCCGTGACGTTTCTCTGATCACAAACCGATGAGAGATCTGTCAATCACCCAGCCTGCCGGTGACGTCATCTGCCATCAGCCCGAAGCCGAGATCGATCACTCAGCTGATCCATAGATCGATGCACACTGACACACACACAGCATTACGTCATGCAGTTATTTCTGCACAGTGTGATGAAGCAGCATGTGTGTGTGTATGAGTGTGAGTGTGTGTGTTTTGATTACCTGTGTGGGGGCGGGTCCTGATTGATTGACAGATGAATGAGTGACAGCAGGACTTTGTATCCTCTGACTTCCTCTCTGAGGATCATCTCACAGTAAATCTGAGGGAACTCTCAGCTCATGGTGGTTCTGAACTCCTGCGTTTGGTGAGTTTGTCAGACGGCGTCATAAAATCAGGTTTAGATGAAGTGATGCTGCTCAACGTGTCGTCTGGAGGAGGTCCACTGGTTCCTCCTGGTTCTGCTGCCTGACACCAGAACCATCTGGAGATGAGAGCAGCTGATATGAAGATGATGTGAGAGTGCAGGAGAGAAGCTCCAGATGGAACCATGAAGACCCTGAACCACC